AAAGAGAATGATGTAGATTAAATTTTGTGGCACATTTTACTTTTATGTTATTTTATTTTAACACTTATTTTACCACCTTTGTACTTCAAGCTTGAATTATGAGTACATGTCTCAAAATAGTTTAAGCAAATGAAAAATATTCATCACACTATTTAAAAAAATCTCAAAATATCTTTTATGGTCACAGTGCTCATATCTGAACATTTAACTACAACTCTATATTTGACCAGTAATATGTGTTTTTTCAATCATTTCTAATTTGACTTGTAAAATACGGAATTTTTCTATTTTTTAAAAGTTGTCCCAAAAAATAAAAACAAGCCTTTCTCTTTAGTGCTACATATAAAGGACCTTCTGTGTCTGTCACCTTCTCTCCTGAAATGGTAACAGGCCCACCCCACCTTCACTTCTCTAACCGAGGTAATGATGGTTTGTGCAGGAAATCTAAATCTGGCTGAGGCAGCCGGTGATTTTCCAGGTCGAGGCAAAGGCCCAAAGCAGAGCTAACAGGCCGCCGCAGAGCTGGGGGAAGTCTGCCACCTGGTGGTAGATGGAAGCCACGGCCAGTTAGTCCATGAGCACAGGGACAGGGTCCACCTCCCCCGGAGGATGCAGGAAACCACAGGTAGAACCAAACCCTATACACACTGTTTTTCCCTATACCTACATTCCTATGATAGAGGTCAATTTATAAATTAAACACAGTAGGACATGAGTAACTAATAATAGAACAATTATAACAATAGACTGTAACACAAGCTATGTGAATATGGTCTCTCAAAGTATCTTACTGTATTGTACTTGCCCTTCTGATGATGATGGTGATGATGTGAGATGGTAAAAGGCTTTCTTAAGTCAGGAACTTTCTTCACCTTTTCTCTTAAAAGAAGCACTTTATGGTTTCTCTTCGGCATATCTATATTGCTAGCATCACTACTCTTGCACATTGGGGTCACTATTAAGTAAAATATGGGTCACACTTGAACACAGCCTTGGATACCAGACAGTCTTATCATCAAGACAGCTAGGAAACTTACGGGGAGCAGGTAACTAACGGGGAGTAGGTGTGCTGCCTGGAGACGCTGCCCAGAGGGTGATTCACTGCCCAAGGGGTGGTTCACTGAGGAGGAAACACGAGATTTCATCACATTCCTCCAAACCAAGTGGGCTTAAAATTTATTATTTATTTCAGGAATTTTTCACTTAATATTTTTATACCCCAATTGACCGCGGGTGACTAATGGAACGTGAAACTGTGGGCAAGGGAAACAACTGTGAGTGGTGATATGGTGCCTGGCTCCACTGGCGTCAGAGAATACCCGATAAGCCATATTCAAACCCAAGACACAACATGTTCCTTCCTTTAAAGGAAAACTATGCAGCAGCACCCTGTATAAATCCCCTCTTTGTAAAGTAGTGCCACATAAAATGCTAAGTGTCTTATTTAGCAAATTCCGTCTCATTTCTATAGTGACTACCTACCTCTCTTCCTACACAATGGTTTAAAAAAAAAGGGTACAAGTATACTGATCCCCCCTTATAATGATTAATGGTATACTTTTAAATTTTCTGTACAGAGAATATTTTTCATCTGTTCAGATCGATGCAATAATCTCAGCTGATGGCTGTCATTCAAAAGTTATTGACATGTTCAAGTAAAGGGATTGGGAGCTGAAGCCCAGGCCAGGCAGTGCGGATACATCTGTGTTCTCCTCTTTAGATTGTGTCATATTATCCCAGTTTGCTTTATGTCGTAAATGATCACTTTTAATTTATATTAAAGTAGCACAGGTACAGGTATCTATTTAAAGGCACCCCACACATACACCTCTAGTCCTGTTCCCTGGAGATAACTACCTGTAGGTCTGCTAGCTGCTTCTTTTGGTCTTTCCCCCCATAACCTCTAAATAAAATGTGTCCGCCGTGATGTCCAGATCTGGTGGCGGTGGAGTGCCTCAGTTTGGGTCCTGTCAGGAGCAGATCGGAGACAAGGATTCAAGGGCAGGATCAGGAACTGTGTTGCTACATGTCAATAAAGTTTGGGGGTTTAGAGAGTCAGCATGTGGATTGATATGTTTTTCCACGTGTACAGAGCCACTGGTCTGTGGCAGAAGAAGGCTCCTGAGACACAGAGTACCAAGGGACAGAGGCAGTCTGAGAGGCTGGCGCAAGATAACTGAGTGAAATACTAATTTGTGTTTATTCCCCCTGTATCTTCCCTTCATCTCACTTCAGACCAGGAGCCAGGCATTTGGCATTTCCTTCCCTCAAGAATTTTTTAAAGTGGAAAACAAAAAGTCACTTTCAATTAAAGGGTCTTTATTCTTGCAAACACCTAAGCTACCTGCAGAGAGGAAGAGGAGGGGGGTGCTTTTAATAGCAAAGAGAAAAGGGCTCAAACCCAGAGGCTGGGAAGGAGACAAAAGTTGGTGGGTCCCAAGGTTAAGAGATTCACAGTCGACTCCTCTCCTTGCCCCTTCGGAAAACAAAGGCCATACCCCTGGACAGCTGTGCCCAAGCTTCTCAGTCACTCCCCTCCGAGCACGGCACAGACAATGGAACAAAGGGCCCCTTGGCAGTAACTGGTAGACCATCACCAGGGTCCAGAGACCCCAGGTCACTGGCACAACACTGGGTGGTAAGTATAGGACTTACCTATACTTAGCTGGATTTACGCTAATTTTTTTTTAAGTTAGGAAATGTCATGTTTTTTGCACATCCCAGCTGGTGCATGAAGATGCAGATAGGGACCTCCTGTGGGGACTGAGTGATGCATAAATGCAGCCGACAGATTATGAGTGATGGAATATAGTCCACTTCATCCTGAGCCCTGTGGCAGAACTGGAATAAAGAGATGAGCGTAGCCCAGCCGGTGTGGCTCAGTGGTTGAGTGTCAACCATGCACCAAGAGGTTGCTGGTTCGATTCTGGGTCAGGGCACATGCCCAGATTGTGGGCCCGATCCCCAGTGGGGGCGTGTAGGAGGCAGCCAATTGATGTTCTCTCTCATCGATGTTTCTATCTCTCTCCCTCTCCCTTCCTCTCTCTCTAAAATCAATAAAGAAAAAAAAAATCAAAGCAGGACAATATCAATCAACAAAAAACAAATAAATAAAAGGATTGTGTCCAACACTATACAACTTGCCTAATTATAAACACACAAACAGATGCTGGGCAGACACAGGTGGCCAGAGAAGGAACTGAGGACAACAGTCTTGTTAGTTTGTTGAGGTAAAAGTTCTCTGTAATTCTTAGGAAAACATCTTAGCAAGGTTTTAAGGTCTCTGGGTAAATTTCTCTTTTTAAAAATTAAAATGCTCTTCCCTGGCAGGTTTGGCTCAGCAGTTAGAGCGTCAGCCCACAGACCAAAGAGTCGCGGGTTCAATTCCAGTCAAGGGCATGTACCTTGGTTGTGGTTCGGTCCCCTGTTGGTCCGGGTCAGGTTGTGCGGGAGGTAACCAATCGATGTGTCTCTCTCACATCATCAATCTTTCTTTCTCTTTCTCTCCCCCTGACCCTCCCTCCCACTCTATCTGAAGATAAATGGAAAACTATCCTCAGGTGAGGATTTAAAAAAAAAAATGTAATTCTCCCTGGAGAGGGAGAGGCACAGAGTAATGCCACCAGGGGACTGGGCAATGTGTTGGGACGGCAGCAGGGAAAAGAGTCGGTGTGTGATGGACACAGCGGACACCAGAAACAGCAGGCTGGTCCGGGGCATTTCCTCCCACCCCCGAGGAGAACACTGGAACCTCGGTCAGGAAACATCACTTCCGTTGCAGTACTGGAGGCCGAGAAACAGGGAAATGCCAGGCTGGTGGCCTCCCTCGGCCTGGTCAGGCCCTGTGGGGGCAGCCAACGGACACAGCGATGTTTCTCTCTCTCCCATTCTTTCCCTCTCTCCCTCCCACCCCATCAAAAAAAAAAAAAAAAAATCAATGGAAAAATATCCTTGGGTGAGGATTATAAAAATAATAAATTAAAATTTATCTTTAAAAAATAGACTAGATGAAGACATATGAAAAGTATTATTTACCCTGGCTGGTTTGGCTCAGCAGTTGCAGTGTTGCCCGGGGACCAGAGAGTCCCAGGTTCGGTTCCCGCTAAGGCACGCACCTCAGTGGCAGTCTGTCCCCGGCCCCGGTTGGGGCTGTGCGGGTGGCGGCCACTCGGGGTGTCTCTCTCACGTTGATGTTTCTCTCTCCCTCCCACTCTGTCTGAGGACACATGCCACCCAAAGTACTATTCAGACCACTGCCAGGGACATGAGCTGTATGACACAGCCTTTTGTTTCTTTTAGTTACACTGTTTTTTAAATAAGGAAACAAGTCATTTTAAAAACAAAGACATATTTTTTAATATAAATGAAAAGTATGTATGCACTAATGCCAGAAATAATCTATCTTCAACTCTGGGCTCTTTTCAAAAGATACAAGATCAGTGTTTCAAAAGATACAAGATATACAGATAAATCACATTCATTCCTTACAGATGTTAAATAGCGTACAATTTAAATTCATAATGAACAATGATGATTTTTCAGTAGCTTGAAATTTCTGTTGTCCATTCCATAATTTTTATGAGTAAAAAAAGAATTAATCATGTAACCCTAATATTGTCATTTATGTATTACTCCAAAGTATAAATCACCCCAAAGATAGAGTCCCATGCTTATCATATGTATTATAAAAATACTGAGATATTTATCAGGTATAACTCATCTAATAAAAATTATATTTTGGAATATGTTTCACAAAGATAAATCCAACATTTCTCTTTGGTTCATAAAACATAAGAGGTAGATTCAAATAAAGTAAATGCCTATCATGTCACTAGATTTTCACTTAAATGTTGGCAATTTATAACAGAAATAACTAGAAACCAAACTTAAGTTTAGGAACTAAATTTAAAAAGTGGTAAAAAATGACATCAACTAATAAATATTTTTCTAAGTCCTAATCACATAAATCAGAAAAGATAGTTGACTACAAAAATGGCTTTAGTAAAATAAAAACATGCTATCAATATTAAAAATTAAGTTTTCTATATCATAACATGTTCTAAAACTTGGGGCAAGAGAGAATATGAATGTGTATGTTTATAAATTGGACCTTTCATTTAAATATAATTACCTAATATATAAGATTAATATTTGCTACTATGAACATGTACTATTCTCTTATGTTGTGCTGCCCAAGTTGAGAATTGCAGATTCAAAGGAATTCAACAGTGAGGAGGAGAAAGAGAATGTGATTCACCCAGCCACTTCATGGAATTAAGAAACCTCAGGTAACCAAGAATGGTCACTGAAGCCTTCCTGATTAAAACGAGATCTGTTTCAAGTAGGAAACAAAGGACAAAGAAAAGAGAGATGTTCTTCAAATGCTGATATAAGTAAAAAGGTTTTGTTTCCTGGTGCTTGTCAAAGCAACGACAGAATAAACAGAATCTTTCAAATAAGTTGCCTTCTGTTGATCACATAACAGTAATAAATTGACAATCAGTGTGTCATCCCAGGAACCAAATAACAATGCAAGGAAACTAGAAAAAGCCCACTGAAATAAATACTATTTCATCACTCCTCCCTACACACACACACACACACACAAAATGATAATAAATGGACTAGGGTATTCACATGCCTTGAAATTCAGCCACTTATGTTCATTCTTATTCAGCTTATAGAACAATAAGGATATAAACCCTGTATTTATCTGGCTGCTGGAAGGTGTGTTTTCATGCAATGACTTTCTATTACTGGGTCTACAGGAAAATTTTAAGAAGTCTATAAAGACATTCAAAATATATAAAACAATTTAAGTTTTGAGGTTTTCTGATCATCTTGTTTTTAAGAAAATAAATTTAAGCATAAAGAAACTGGCATCAACTTGAACCATCCAAAATAAAGGTGGATGATTTATAATTCTACCAAACACCACAAATTTAGTTCAAGCAGGTATATGTTTCAAATTTAGAAGTCAGGGCAGAGATCTGTAGAAAGGACTAAGAAGAAATAAAAAATACAATTTTCTGGACTTTTCAAAATTGAATGAGCTTATCAAAACTATAATTTTTAAAAAACGTTTATTTATATATAAAATCGATCATGATAAGCTCTTTCCTTTTGTGAAAACATACAGCTTCTTTTGCCATCCACCTTCAATTCTAGGGGGAAAAGTCCCTCTAGAGATTATTGAAAATTTCGGTAATCATGCTAAAGCAAAAAATTCAACATGTCATTTCTGGGTTACTCCTAAAGTCTGTTTCATATTTTCATAAACCACATAACTGATGCCTACAGCAGGGAGCACCTTCATGAAGTTCGGGGCGATGCCTCTGTAAAGTCCTGGTATTCCTTCTTTGGAAATTATTCGACGAAAGAGGCCAACCATGTTCAGCTGTGGGGTTCCATCTACCATCGCTAGAAAATAAAAAAGGAAACCAGGCTAATTTAATACATAAGCATGTTTTGTTCTTATAGTATAAAATAATATGATTCAGAATGATTCAGAGGGATAAAATTTATTCCAAGGGATCCAAGAAAGTACCCCTTTATATAATTCTCCTTACTGTGGCAATACCAGTTATTTATTGAGTGATTACCATGTGCTAGATATTGGGTTAATTACTTTATACAGCCCTGGAGGGTTAGAATCAATGAGTTGTGGGTTCCATCCGGTCAAGGGTATGTACCTCAGTTGCGATTCGTCTCCAGCCCTGGTTGGGGCCCTGCGGGAGGCAGCCACTCAATGTAAAAGATACACATTGATGCTTCTCTCTCTCTCTCCCACTCTTTCTGAACAAAAATGGAAAAATGTCCTGGGGTGAGGATTTAAAAAAAACGTAATTACTTTATCCACCAAGGTAAATATTATGATACCCATTTTACAAAGGAGGAATTGAGGCATGGAAAGATGGGGGACCTTGTCCTAAAGCACTCAGTCAGCAAGTAGGAGGGCTGATAGTACTTCTGACCCCAGAGCTCCTCCTTTCCACCACCCCTCCTCCACATTAACCACACTCTGAAGAAGGAACAGTTCAGTCTTGGGAAGTAAGGGGAGTACGGGGAACGCTTTGTGGAGCTTAGGAAAATCCAGGCTCCCTGAGCCTTGAAAATGACCTCAAAGGCGAAAAAGTAAGAAGCCAAAGCCAAGGCTTTATGCAGCAAGGACAGGGCGGGACACACGCGCACTGCGGACACGCTGATGGCTGGAGGTGGGCGAGGTGGGCGCGGAGACCGACCGAGCGAAAACAGCCAGTGGGGCAGATGGTTCTGGCTTTGAGATTCCCACCAAGAGCTTTGGAATCCACTGCGAAGACACTGCAGAGCCCCAAGGGTTTCCGAGCAGGAGTGGAGCGATCAGACCTCGACGTGCTGGCCTATCGCCTCGCCCCGATTAAATCATACAAACGGCCGACTGGGGAGCTCTCAGAGGCACACAGGAAGTACAGCTGGCCTGCACCCCTCTACGCGAATTTGTCCTCTAAGCGAAATGGTTATTGTTTAGAACTTAGAAAACAGAGTGTCTAGCAGGACAGCCCTGACCACAGAGGTGTGCTGGGCAGCTCCCTCCGCCTCTGCTGCCCCCCTCATCCCCCCGCTTCCTACTAGCTTGCTCTCCCCCAAGGCCATCAAGAAATGCCAGTTGCAGAAATTTGTAACAAGCCCCCTATAAAATAAAAATGTAGCTGAAAGTCAGGGCTGATCTCCGAGAACTCGAGATCAGTCCCCAGCCGGCTTTGCTCTCTGTTTGGCTCTAATTTGGCGCTGGTGGTCTCTCAGTTCTCCCCACTACAACACGGCTTGGGAAGCAACAAACCTATCTGCCTCGCAAGGGACTGGATCGAAGCTGGCAGAGGGAGGGGTAGACCTGCCAGGTGATGGTTTCGATCAGGTGGCCTGGGTTTGAAGTCTGGCCCTACTATTTACCAAATATATAACTTTGTAGATGTTACTTAATCTCTTTTAGCCCCAGCTACTCACCTGCATAATGGAGATCATGTTAGTATCACCGCCCCCGCCCTTGCCCCCCCCCCCCCATGGTTATGGTAGTTCAGTGAGAGAATACACAGCGAACGTTTAGTTTTCGACTTTGCATTTTTCTCTCAGGCCACACAGTCTTCTCCTCGCTCCTCAATGTACCTGTTTTCTCCTACCTCGGGGCCTCACATACTTTTTCCCGAGCTGGAATGCTCTTTCTTCCACCCACCCACCCACTCTGCCCAGCCAACTGCCACTAGTCTGTGCATGCTCAGCTTAAATGACAACACCCTCCAGCTCCCCTTAGCTGAGAGGCCCTTACTCTGTGCCCCCTGACAAAGAGGAGGTGGGTTAAGGAAGCTATTAACCTGCGGAATGTGTGTCTTCTCCACCCTGCAGGGCAGGGACCACCTCTGACTCATGGGCTGGCCTAACCCTGGCACCCACAGCCTGTCCTGCACGACAGTGTCTGGGGAAGCACTCCTTATCCAGGATGAACTGCTTGGCTGGGGGGGGCATGGTGGAAGAGAGATTGGGGATAGAGCTGTAGATGCCCAGGGTATACTATTTAAAGAATTGACAGTGGGTGAGATTAATCAGGGAAAGAGCAAAAAAGAAAAGAAAGGCACAGAAAGCATACTTTAATCGAGCAATAAACACCAGTGAATCATAAGAAAAGAGAATTATCCATGAGATGGCAGAAAAGCCAGGAGGGCACAGGGTCAGATGGGGAGGGTCATAGGTCATATGTCGTAGCATCCCACAGTAATAAGCAATTCCAGCCACCATTTACCAAGAATCTGACAAATGCCAGGTGTTTTACACAGATTGCTGCTAATTCTTACAACATTGCACAGTTTTCATTCCTATTCACAGATGAGAAAACAAAAACCCAAAGAAGCTGTGTGCAAGGACCTGAACTGAAGGCCATCTAGATACTAAAGCTAAATACTCTTAAAACATGCATTCTCAACACAGGCCAAAAAATCCTTCCTGTTTATGCATAAAACATAGATATACATACAGTACATGCGCAGTGTGTCTGTGGTATTATGATTTCAGGAAGAGGGAGTGATTAGGAATAGGCTTTGTAAAACGTTTCCTTAGGGAGGCAACAAAGAATGTAAGGTTGTGCCCTGGCCGGTTTGGCTCAGCGGTTGGAGCGTCGGCCTGTGGACCAGAGAGTCCTGGGTTCAGTTCCCGCTAGGGGCGCGAAGCAAAAAAAAAGAATGTACGGTTGAGATATACTATCTTAACAAGCACAGGACTACATCACTCTTCCATCAAAAACCCACCTTGAGCCTGCATGCGCGTTCTCACCAAAGCCAACGGGTAGCTGGCCAGCTGCCCACAGGTGCTGGACAAGGCACCACATCCCAGCAACACCATGACTCCGGGGTTTACAGTATCTTTGGCAAAATTATCCAGCCAATGGGACTTCAAGAGCTGCCAGAGAAACAGAAAAGAAGAGAAATAGTCAACAACTAACTTTACACCCGCTTTCACTCCTCATGAGCATTTTCACAGCTACTCTCGTCCTTATGAAAGACAGGCCACCTTTCTGCAGGATGGGGCGCACGGTCCCAGGAGCCGCAGCTCTGCGGAGAGGAGGGGAAGCCGCGGAGGATGCAGACACATGAGGTCTGCAGTGGCTGCTCATTTCCTTCTAAATAAACATGACGACTGCCCTGGCCAGTTTGGCTCAGTGGTTAGGGTGTCGGCCAGCGGTCCAGAGTGACCCGGGTTCAGCTCCCACTAAGGGCATGAACCTTGGCTGCAGTGTGTCCAAGGCCCTGGCTGGGGTCGTGTGGGTGGCAGCCACTCGATGTGTCCCTTCACATCGATGTTTCTCTCTCTCTCTCCCTTCCTCTCTCTCCCTCCCACTCTATCTGTACAAAAAATGGAAAAAATATCCTCGGGTGAGGATAAAAAAAAAAATAGATAAATAAATAAACGTGACGGTCAATAGCACACCAACTGCAGAACCTAAAGAACATTTTCTACACTGAGTCCTAATACAAACATAATATAATACTACCAACTGCATCTAATTTTCTACTTGATACATGTTATTTCATTTAGTTTTTTTACAAAGCTTTGAGGTCGAGTTATTCTTCTGAATTTGGAAATGAGGAAGATTAGTTTCAATGGGGTTTTTTTGTTTGTTTTTTAACAAGGGTGCAGAATCCAGTGTACTGATCCCCCAGGCCATGCTATTTTCCCTATTATTTTAGGTCCCTGAATTTCCATTAGAGGGCAATAATTGAGAAAAGTTGCATAAAATATGTATGCTAATCTACTTTTTAAATATAAATATTTTAAGTTAAAAATATGCTAATTTTTAATAAGCATTCTATTTTGTTCTGGTAGCCCAAGAATACTAATACACTACCTGAAGCAAACTACATATTCAATACAATCCTTATTCAAATCCCAATGGCATTTATTTGAGGAAACAGAAAACCATCCTGAAATTGATATGGAATCTCAAGGCACCCCAACTAGCTAAAATAATCTTGGAAAAGAAGGATAAAGTTGGAGGCCTCACACTGCCTGATTTCAATATATATTAACAAGTGACAGTCATCAAGACAGTGTGGTACTAGCATGAAGGCTGACATATGGATCAATGGAACAAAATAGAGAGCCTGGAAATAAAATCTTGAATATGTGGCCAAAGGATCTTCAACAAGGGTGCCAAGACTACACACTAGGGAAAGAAAAGTCTCTTCAATAAATGGTGCTGGGAAACTAGATAGCTACATGCAAAAATATAAATGGACCTTTACCTTACACCATATACAATGAACTCAAAATGGATTAAAGGTGCCCTAGCTGGTTTTCTCAGTGGTTAGAGCGTCGGCCTGCGGTCCAGAGAGACCTGGGTGCAGTTCCTGCTAAGGGCACGACTCTCAGCTGCAGTTTGTCGCTGGCCCTGCTTGGGTTGTGCAGGTGGCAGCCACTCGATGTGTCCCTTTTACATCGATGTTTCTCTCTCTCTCTCTCTCTCTCTCTCTCTCTCTCTCTCCCTCCCTCCCTCCCTCCCTCTCTCCTTCCCACTCTATCTGAACAAAAAGTGGAAAAATGTCCTTGGGTGAGGATTAAAAAAAAGATTAAAGGCCTAAACATTAGACCTAACACTATAAAACATCTTGGAAAAAACATAGGGTAAAAGTTTCAGGACATCTGGCAATATTTCTTGGATATAACACCAAAAGCACAAGCAACAAAAGCAAAAATAAACAAATGGACTTCATTAACTTAAAAACTGTGCAGCAAAGGAAACAGTGAAAAAGCAACCTACAGAACAGGAGACTATACTGCAAACCATACATGAGAATGGTTAATACCAAAAATATTTAAAGACATCCTACAATTCAACAACAATAAAAAATCTGATTAAAAAATAGGCAAAAGCCCTGGCCAGTTTGGCTCAGCAGTTGGAGCGTCGGCCTGCGGACCAGAGAGTCCTGGGTTTGGTTCCCGCTAGGGGCACGTACCAAAAAATAATAATAATAATAATAATAGGCAAAGGACTTGGATAGACATTTCTCTAAAGAAGATATATAAAGGGACAATGAGCACGTGAAAAGATGATCAACATCACCTATCGTCAGAGAAATATCAAGCAAAAGCACAATGAGATATTGCCTCACACCTTACAGGATGGCCACCATCTAAACATTAAAAAATAAAATAAAATACCCTGGCTGGTGTGGCTCAGTTGGTTGAGCATCAGTCTGTGCACCCGAAGGCTGCCAGTTTGATCCCCAATCAGGGCACATGTCTGGGTTGAAGGCTCGATCCCCACTAGGGGGCATGCAGCAGGCAGCTGATCAATGCTTCTCTCTCATCAATGGTTTTTTTCTCTCTCTCTTCCTCTCCCTTTCTCTCTCTCTAAAATCAATAAAAACTTATTTTAAATAAATAAATAATATAAATTTTAAATTTAAATTTAAAAAACAGTCAACACCCACCTGCCAGGAAAAAATAAACAAAAACAGAAACTAACAAGTGTTGCAAGGATGTAGAGAGATCAGAATTCCTGTGCACTGTTGGTGGGGATGAAAAGAGGTGCAGTTGCCATGGAAAATAGTTTGGCAGTTCCTCAAAAAGCTTAACAAAGAATAACCATATGACCCAGCAACTCTACCCCTAGGTGTATACCCAAAGGAACTGAAAACGGAGACTCAAATACTTGCATTCAATGTTCACTGTAGCATCATTCACAATACACAAAGGTAGAAACAACCTACGTGTCCATCAACAGAAGAACAGACAAATAAAATATAATATTATTCAGCCATAAAAAGGAATGAAGTTCCGATACATGCTACAACATGGATGAACCCTGAACATAGTATGAGTGAAATAAGTCAGGAAAACAAAAACAACTGTTTGATGCCACTTGCAAATTCAGAGAGACAGAAAGTAGGTTAGAGTTACCAGGGGCTGGCAGGAAGAGAGAGTGGGAAGTTATTTCTTACTAGTTACAGACTTTATGTTTGGTATGATTTAAACAGTTTTGGAAACAGGGGTGGTGATTGCACAAAGATGTGAATGTAATCAATGCCCCTGTATTTTATCCTTAAAAATTGTTAAAATGACAAATTTTGTCGTGTGTGTGTGTGTGTATCTCCACAACTTTTTAAATTAACATATACCAAAAGCCATTGAACAGTACACTTTAATTGAATGAAATGTATGGTATGTGACTTTTAGCTTCATAAAGCTGTTTTGAAAAGGTTTCATCACACATTCCGCCCCTGCTCTCAGCTGTCCCCTGGGTCCCTTCCTAATGTGCCCAGGCTCACTGCCCCCACAGCATAGCCAACCACACTGTGCGCCACGCGTCTGCTGGTCTACCTCCCACGCCACGTTTCAAGGGCAGACCCAAGTCCCTCCTCTTCCAGTCTCTAGATCCGGTGTCTAACCCAGTGGCTTGCACACAGTACATGCCCATTGTTTTTCAGATTCACACATTATTAAATGATGTAAAAGGCAAGGTTGATTTAAAAATTGTAGTCGGAGTTGTTTCATTAGTACCAAAGATGGGTCTGCACCACCTGTATTGGTCTCTTGGCTTTACCAATGTCATCAATGTCAGATATGGACAAATCAAAGAAAATGTGTCATTTTTGCTTATTTTCTACCCTCCCACCCCCTGCCAAAATCCCTAGTACCATCTTCTAAGCTGGACAACTATATCTGACTGTGAGTCCACTCCCTTCATTAATAAAAATAATGCACAGAGAAATCTAATACAAAACCGACCACAAGCATATGGGGTCTCATATTCAAGATATTTGAGGGAAAAAAATCAAATAACATCCTTGAATCTACTTTTGGTCACAAATTGTTCCATGGTATAAATGTATTTCTTCATACAAAGTCAAATTCTAACAATAAGAACTATTTAACTTACAAATTCAAAAGACTGCTATAAACTCACCTCATACACAGCAAGGTCTATACCTGCGTAAGGTATGATGCCTAATAAATTGGGAATATAACCCTTGTAAAAAGCTCCCACGCCTTCTCGTTTCATAATCTTCTTGGCGCAATCGAATAGTCCAGAGTACTGTCCGGTTTTGCCTACGGCCAGCCTGGTTTTCAAAACCTGGTCGTGAAAGAATATACCAAAATATGGTTGCTCACATCAACTCTATCATCATGAAATTCAAAACAAGTCATTTCACAGAGAACAGCTCCCGAGCACATGCTGTCACTCAAATGACTGTCCAGGTGGGTGATGTGTTCCCCCCACATGGTACCTCTATGGAGGGAGTAAGCCAAGCGCCAAAAGGAGCCATTCACTGCGAAGAGCACCTAGGGGAGGGCAGGGGCATGGGAAGTGGGCAAAGGACCACCTGCTGATGCCTTGACAACATGGACTGGCGGCCAACTAGATACGGAGGGAATGGGAGAGGAAGCACAGCTTGGAGCACAGGAGGGGAGCGGCACGGGGTGGAAAGGTGATGCTATTAACTGAGATGAACAGCGTAAGAAGAGCAGCGGGTGTTGAGTTGTGATGTTGTGAGGGGCACGTGGAGTACTATGAACAACCACAGTAAGAGGCCTGCAAGGAAGGCTGTGGTGATATGCACACCACAAAGGAAAAATTAATGGCATATCTTGAGGCACATCTTGCCTGGGTCTAATGAGTTATTAAAAAACCCTCTGTCATATCAATAAAAATATGCATATCTGCAGTATTATTTTTGCTCTAAAGTGGGAGTTGACAAACTTTTCCTGTAAAGGTCAGATGGTAAATATTTTCATCTTTGCAGGCTTGTAATATCAGGTCTCTGTTGTATATTGGTTTGCGGGGAGGATGGTTAACCACCTTTTAAAAATGAAAAATGGCCCTGGCCGGTTTGGCTCAGCGGTTAGAGCGTTGGCCTGCGGTACAGAGAGACCCGGGTTCGGTTCCCGCTAAGGGCACGTACTTCGGTTGCAGTTTGTCCCCGGCCCTGGTTGGTCGTGCGGGTGGCAGCCACTCGATGTGTCCCTTCACGTCGATGTTTCTCTCTCTCCCTTCTTCTCTCTCTCCCTCCCACTCTATCTGAACAAAAAAAAATGGAGAATATCCTCGGGTGAGGATAAAAAAAAAAAAAAATAAAAATGAAAAATGTATTCTTAGCTCAAGGGCTTTACAAAATAGTCCACAGCTCCGTGATTTGCCAACCCGGGCTCTGATGGAAGGATGTGTAGGTAGGACTACCTTCGCCTAATCAAATGCTGAGTTCCATTATGAAATTTATGGCACTAAAACTCTTTGGAGATGAATAGGTGTTATCATTCTAATCAACACGGTGGCAGCAGCCTCCACGGTGGCCCCCAACTACCCCTGCTTCCTGATATTCACCCTCTATGTAGTCCCCTCCCACATTCCACCCAGCGGTGGACTGTGCAACCAACAGTTCACAACAGAAGTGACCAAAGATCGCAGCTTCCATCTTGGGTGCTCCCCACCCCTGAGATCACCAATTTGGGGAAACCAGCTACCGTGTTGTAGAGACACTTGAGCAGCCTATGGAGAGGCCCACATGGTAAGGGATCCATGTCTCCAGCCAACAGCCAGAAAGACCTGACAATAAACACGAGCTTTTGGAAGCAGATCCATCCCCTGCTGAACCTTGAGTGCCTACAGCCCTGGCCAACACCTTGACTGCAGCCTGTGAGAAACAGAGGCACCCAGCCCAGCTACCCCCAGATTCCTGAGCCGCAGAAACTGGGAGATAACAAACACTTGTCATTTGAAACTGTTAATTTGGGGAATGCTGGTTACACCCCAATGGATCATTCATATGAAAACCATTAGTGCTGTCAGACCTCACAATGGCACGTACCTCCATAGGATAAATAAATGTCTGTGCAGTTGCTCCAGCCATGGAACCAGAAACAAATCTCTCGAAGGTGCCGACGTTTTGTCCTTCCTCAGTAAGCATCTTCTTGTACTGTGTAAATCAATTGTAAGTGCACATTAATATTTGCTACAGACAAAATTGTGTGTCCCTACCCATAAATCCATATGTGGAATCTGTAACCCCCAAAGGGATGATATTTGGAGATGGAGTCTTTGGGAAGTAATTAAGGTTAAATGAGGTCATGAGAGTGAGGCCCTCATAACAAGATTCGTGTCCTTATAAAAGAGACACCAGAGAAAGTCCTCTCTCTCTCTCTCTCTCCAGTTGCATGACCTAAGAAAAGGCCACATGAGCACACACAGCGAGAGGATTATCATCTGCAGGCCAGGAGACAAGCCCTCACCGGAAGCCAAATTGGTTAGTGCCTTGACCTTGGACTCCCCAGCTCCAGAATTGTGAGAAATAAATTTCTGTTGTTTAACCCACCCACTTTATGGAAGTTCATTATAGCACCTCAAGCTGATAAGACAAAATACAAATCAGCTCCTAGAAGTCAACTGACAATGTGAGTATGTTTCTCAAAATGCAAATGCCGCATTGCCAATACTCAGCAGAGAAGCAAGGCTTAAATGCTAACACGGTACATGCAGTTTTCTGGACAGTGGTTGTCAAGTCAGAACACAGATGTGGCACAGATGGAACCCAACTGCTCCTTTGCTAAAACAGAATAACGGCATTCTTTCCCTGATGCACAGAAAATACAGGGTTAATAAAGTGGTCACAATTTTTAAATAGTTGCCCCATAGTTTCTTTTCTGAAATTGGGTATATTTTCACCAGCACAAATAAAACTATTAAGCAAGTGACAATCAAATATTAACAACTTAAAAAAACAGTTTCTGTAGATGATACATAGACCTATACTATCACTAACAATATAGTGCTAACAATTACCTGTTCGTATGCCCAGAACTTTACAGCTGTCTCCGGGGCAATTTTAATGACATTTGTACCGTTTCCTCTCCAAAGGGAGCGGACACCTCCTTCTTTCACCATCTGCCGAAAGCCACCATATATGTTCATTTTGTCGGATTTTGAACCATGGACCTAAAAATTAAAGTAAAATGATATAAAATTCTGGTGACATGTTATTGTTACTATTTCTAAAGTAACAGTATAAACCACTCTCTTCTCTCTAATACTGCAAGAAGATGTATTTGAAAACAGAATATAGGAGGCTGAGAAAATATATAACATACAAATAACTTGCCTAGCAGGTGTGGCTCAGTAGACTGAGTGCCATCCCATGGACTGAGAGGTGCTGGTTCAATTCCCGGTCAGGGCACGTGCCAGGGTTTCAGGCTCGATCCCCAGGGGGTGGCGTGCAGGTGGCAGCCAACCAATGTTTCTCACATCAATGTTTCTCTCTCTCTTTCTCTTCCTCTCTAAAAAATCTATAAAAATATATTTTTTAAAAATAATAATAATTGCCCTGGCCAGTTTGGCTCAGCGGTTAGAGCGTCGGCCTGCGGTCCGAAGAGACCCGGGTTCGGTTCCCGCTAAGGGCACGTACCTCAGTTGCAGTTTGTCCCCGGCCCTGGTTGGGTCATGTGGGTGGCAACCACTCGATGTGTCCCTTTCATGTCGATGTTTCTCTCTCTTTCTCTCCCTCCCGCTCTATCTGAATAAAATATCAAAAAATGTCCTCGGGTGAGGATAAAAAAATAATAATAATAATAAATTAAGGAGAACCCTACAATAATGACTGGATGTATTAAACACTTGAATAGTCATAGAACACCAAAGATTGCAGGTTCATCCCAGTCCTGGTTGGTGTGCTCAGTTGGCTGGGCAATGACTTGTGCACCAGGAGGTCCCATTCGATTCCCAGTCCAGGACATACGCCTGGATTGCCGGCTCCATCCCCAGTAGGGGGCGTGCAGGGAGCTCTCTCTCTAAAAATAAATCACTATTCTTTAAAAAAAAAAAAATTCTGCTGCTTATTTGACTTTTTATATGTTAACAAAAAAAGTTAATCACACATATGTACTAACTATTTAAGATTTGGCAGAATACCAAAGTACTTACATGGACTGAATTCAGGGTTAATAGCAATAAAATAGAGAGATATTTCTTAAAGGTATAAAAGACTATTATAAAGAGTTTTTTAACTGTTTTCAAAGCTCCATATGTCTCATTGTTTGAGGATACTTAGGACAAAGGACACAAGGTCACAAAGTTCACCTGCATCATGACTTTCAGACGGTCCAAGGGCGCGGTGCTGGTGCGGGACACGGCCCCAGCAATGGCTCCCGCCAGCAGCTGCCTCCACCACTGTCCCGACTTCTTTTCATCTTCTGTGAACTCGTCCGGAATAGTTAAACTATCTCCTATGTCAATACCCTGTTACAAGAAAGAAAAAAAAAAGATCCCCAGGCCCCTTCAGTTAAAGATAGGTCACTCCAGCAAGTTTGTTTTAGAGAAGCATGTGTTATTTTATAGTTAAGATCAGCTTTGTCCCTAGAACTACCCTGAACCAATGTAAGCACAGAGATGACTATCAATAGCTTCTTCATACTAAGTGAAGTGTCAGTTCTCAAGAAATGAAAATTAACAGCACTCACAAATTTACAACACCAACAATCAACAACAATCTTTCTTAATAGATTCAGAGTAACTTTTCTCCTCTGGGTCTAAGTCGGAATGAAAGGGCAGCATGTTCATTCTTTTGCGCTAAAGAAAGAAATTAGCCTGTCAATTCTCCAAAGTAACACCTTCGATCTCAAAATCATATCTATGTTATACTTTGCACCATGATACTTTGCACCATGCTTTAGATATGTAAAAAAATAAAATAAAATAAAAATGATCTATGTGAACAGCCCTAAACTTATTTCCTATACAGACTGTCTTATAAATATTTTTATAAATCTGTCTTTATAAAACATACAAAGACTCTATATAAAATGTAGTTAACAGAAGGTATTATTTAAAATGATCTGTCCTCTATGCTATTCTAAACTTGACTATAGATTACAAACGTAGTTCTAAAATTGTAATATTTTTACAACTTTATTATCTAACTGATTTTGGTGTAAAAGATGTTATAAGTAAGAGTGTCAGGGTAAGGAACTGAGCAATAGTGGTAACCCTCTCTTTCTTCCTTTGACTATCAATAAAATGGATACTGTTATCAACTGTCTCCAAAGACACAGTAAGCCTCTGACATGTGTGCAGTAGAACAAGCAGAGCTCCATACGTTAAGGAGCCGATGAGACTTGGTTGGCCACCCTGAGTAAACCTTCCAGTGTTCTCAGGTGGTAACTATACTAATGGCTCACAGCTCCAAATAAGTATAAATTAATCCATAAAGTGTACTTACAGTAGAATGTTTCCAAAAACGGATAATTTCCTCAATGTCTGTGACGGGATTGAATAAGAAGTAGTCCCTCCATTCATTCCAGTCCACTGTCATCGTCCCATCAGCATCAATGCTAAAAAAAAAAAAAAAGAGGTAACTAAGGAACAAAACAGAATTTACAAATAAAACTAACATTACTGGCTATTTTGCAGAATGACATTTTCTTTTCCAACTTAATATTCCTATTAAATTTTTAAAATCCTAATTCACATAGCTGTTGGAAATGGAGCATGCACCTGATGGTCTTCTATATAGTTTTAATCATTTAGAAAAAACAGTGGACCCTAAAATTACCGAGAAATCTTGCTAAAGACAAGTTCCAGTGCTCTGTCAGGCTCTAAGTCGCTGAGCTATCAAACGCAACACCTGGAAGATAAAATACTGAAAGGCAGTAATGAATGATTTATGGTCCATTTTTTCTTACACTGGCCCAGAAAGGTATTTCTCAACGTTCTCTTATAACATTCAGATGTGATTTGGGAATATACTCAAAATATGCTCTCACGTTCCTTCTCCAACTTTCTCTAAGCTAAGAAAATTAGCAGTGATTATGGGAAAAAATCAAACTTGGTCATGGAGGCTTTTGAGTCAAGAAACCCTGGTACCTCATCTTCAACATGTAAAGTTAATATATTACAGCCTTAGATATTTTTCATTTACGTTTTTTATAACATTCTTGGCAATAATGCCACTTGTACTCATTTTTTCCTAAGAGCAACTCTAAATCGTGTCAGGATTTTGACTGTTTTTTTGTTTGTTTAATTTCTTTATTTATTTTTTTGTTACAGATGTTTCTCCTTTGTTGCTCCATTGGCACCCCCCTCCCCACCCCACCCCCACCCCGTCCCCAGCTTTGTTGTCCATGTCTATTGGTTATGTATACATGCATATAAGTTCTATGGTTTATCTCTTCCCACCTCCCTCACCCCCTCTTCTGACGGATGTTAGTCTGTGCTCTACTTCCATGTTTCTGGGTCTACCGAATTCCTCAGACTGTTATGTTTATTATATTCCGTATATAAGTAAGATCATGTGGTATTTGTCTTTTTCTGCTTGGCTTATTTCACTTAGGATAATACTTTCCAGGTCCCTCCATGTCGTCTCAAGGGATAAGAGATCTTTCTTTCTTACAGCTGCATAGTACTCCATTGTGTATATGTACCATAGCTTTTTTATCCATTCGTCTACTGATGGACACTTGGGCTGTTTCCAGATTTTAGCTATTGTAAATAGTGCTGCTATGAACATGGGGGTACATATATTCTTTCTGATTGGTGTTTCAGGCTTCTTAGGGTATATTCCCAGCAGTGGGATCACTGGGTCAAATGGCAGTTCAATTTTTAATTTTTTGAGGTAACATCATAGTGTTTTCCATAATGGCTGCACAAGTCTGCATTCCCACCAGCAGTGTACTAGAGTCCCCTTTTCTCCACACCCTCGCCAACACTTGTTGTTTGATGATTTGTTGATGGCGGCCATTCTGACAGGTGTGAGGTGATACCTCATTGTTGTTTTAATTTGCATCTCTCTGATGATTAGTGATGTTGAGCATTTCTTCATGTCTCTTGTCCATTTGTATGTCCTGTTTAGAGAGGTGTCTATTCAGCTCCTCTGCCCATTTTTTAATTGGGTTCTTTGTCTTCCTTTATTGAGTTGTATGAGCACTCTATATATATTGGAAATTAACCCCTTATCTGATATATCATTGGCAATGATGTTCTCCCATACAATGGGTTGCCTTTCCATTTTGATTATTGTATCTTTTGCTGTGCAGAAGCTTTTTAGTTTGATGTAGTCCCATGTGTTCATTTTTTCCTTTGTTTCTGTTGCCTTAGGTGATGTATCAGTGAAAATTCTGCTCCGTATGATGTCCGAAATTTTGTTGCCTACATTTTCTTCTAGAATTTTTATGGATTCACGGGTCACATTTAAGTCTTTTATCCATTTTGAGCTTATTTTTGTGTATGGTGTAAGTTGATGGTCTAGTTTCATTTATTTTGCATGTAGCTGTCCAATTTTCCCAACACCATTTATTAAAGAAGCTGTCTTTACGCCACTGTATGCTCTTGCCACTGTTGTCAAATATTAATTGAGCATATTGCCTTGGGTCCATTTCTGGGTTTTCAGTTCTGTTCCACTGGTCTATATGCCTGTTCTTGTGCCAGTACCAGGCTGTTTTGATTACAATGGCTTTGTAGTATAACCTGATATCTGGTATTGTGATCCCACCTACTTTATCCTTCTTTTTCAAAATTGCTGTAGCTATTCGGGGACTTTTTTGGTTCCATATGAACTTTTGAAGTATTTGTTCTAGTTCTGTGAAATATGTCATTGGTATGTTGATGGGGATTGCATTGAATCTATAGATTGCTTTGGGTAGTATAGACATTTTAATGATGTTAATTCTTCCAATCCATGAACAAGATATGTGCTTCCACTTTTTTATATCTTCCTCTATTTCTTTTGTCAATGCCCTGTAGTTTTCTGCAAATAGGTCCTTTACTTCTTTGGTTAAGTTTATTCCTAGGTATCTTAATTTTTTTTGCCGCGATGGTAAATGGGATTGTTTTTTCGGTTTCTCTTTCTGTGAGTTCATCATTGGTGTATAAGAATGTCGTTGATTTCTTGACATTAGTTTTGTTTCCTGCTACTTTTACAAATTCATTTATTAAGTCTAGTAGATATTTTATGGACTTTTTAGGGTTTTCTATGTATAATATCATGTCAGCTGCAAATAATGACAGTTTCACTTTCTCCTTTCCAATTTGGATCCCTTTTATTGTTTCCTTATGTCTGATTGCTGTGGCTAAGACTTCCAGTACTATGTTAAATAAGAGTGGCGAAAGTGGACATCCCTGTCTTGTTCCTGTTCTTAATGGAAATTTTTTTAATTTCTGCCCATTGAGTATGATGTTGGCTGTAGGTCTTTCATATATGGCCTTTATTATGTCGAGATATGATCCCTCTATTCTCACATTGCTGAGCATTTTTATCAGAAATGGATGCTAAATTTTGTCGAATGCTTTTTCAGCATCTATTGATATGATCATGTAGTTTTTATTCTTCATTTTGTTTATGTGGTGTATCGCATTTATTGATTTGCGAATATTGTACCAGTCTTGCATCCATGGAGTGAATCCCACTTGGTCATGGTGAATAATTTTTTTGATGTATTGCTGGATCCGATTTGCTAGTATTTTGTTCAGGATTTTGGCATCTATGTTCATCAGGGATATTGGCCTGTAGTTTTCTTTCTTTGTAGTATCTTTTTCTGGTTTTGGAATTAGAATTATACTGGCCTCATAGAACGTGTTTGGAAGTCTTCCTTCTTCTTGAATTTTTTGAATAGTTTGTGGAGAATGGGTGTTAGTTCTTTTTTGAATGTTCGGTAAAACTCCCCCGTGAAGCCATCTGGGCCTGGGCTTTTGTTTGCTGGGAGAGTCTTGATTACCTCTTCTATTTCCTTAGTTGTTATTGGTCAGTTCAAGTTTTCTATCTCTTCCCAGTCCAGTTTTGGGAGACTGTGTGTTTCTAGAAATTTGTCCATTTCACTTAGATTGTCAAATTTGTTGCCATATAGTTGTTCATAGTAGCTGTTATCGATCTTTTATATTTCTGTGGTGTCGGTTGTTACTTCTCCTCTTTCATTTCTGATTTTGTGTATTTGGGTTCTCTCTCTTTGTTTCTTTGTGAGTGTAGCTAAGGGTCCATCAATATTGTTTATCTTTTCAAAAAACCAGCTCTTTCTTTCATTGATCCTTTGAATTGTTTTTTTTATCTCTATGTCATTTATTTCTGCTCTGATCTTTACTATTTCCTTTCTTCTACTTGCTCTGGGGTTTTCTTTTTGTTTGCTTTCTAATTCTTTAAGTTGTGAGGTCAGACAGTCAATTAGAAATTTTTCTTGTTTCTTGAGGTAGGCCTGTAGTGCTATGAACTTCCTTCTCAGAACTGCTTTTGCTGCATCCCATAGATTTTGTATTGTTGTGTGTTCATTTTTATTGGTTTCCAGGAAGTTTTTAATTTCTTCCTTGATCTCCTTGGTAACCCATTCATTGTTTAATAACATGCTATTTAGCCTCCATGTGCTGAAATGTCTTTCCATGTTCTTGTTGCAATTAATTTCTAGTTTCATGCCATTGTGATCTGAGAAGATGCTTGATATGATTTCAATCTTCTTGAACTTGTAGAGATTTCGTTTGTGTCCTATCATGTGGTCTGTCTTTAAGAATGTCCCATGTGCACTTGAGAAGAATGTGTATTCTGTAGTTTTGGGGTGTAATTCTCTGTAGATATCTATTAAATCCATTTGGTCTAGTGCTTCATTTAGAGTCTCTGTTTCCTTGCTAATTTTTTGTCTAGAGGATCTATCCAGTGGTGTCAACAGGGTGATTTTGACTGTTTTGTAAGTACTATGTACAAGTGGCTGGCACAGAGAAGATGCTCATTTGTAGAATTAATGAATGTCTCTAAAAAAAAGTGGGGGGTTTTGGTGTTGCCTCCAGACTTTATATTTATTCTATAAATTTGTCTGAAAATTATGCATGAAAACAGAAAGAGTTTTTGTTGATTTTGTTCACTACTATGACCAAAGTATCTATTAGAGTACCTGGCAAAGAGTAAACATTCACTGAATGAATAAACAAATTCTAAATTATTCTATTTAAAGCCAAAGAACACCTAGCATTAATAAATTCTTAAGTAAGCTGGCCTCACTGTGGGTTTATACTGTATTTCTTTTCAAATTACTAATGAGGTCAAGCACCTCTTACCATTCTTTGCTGTTCATGTTTTCCTATGTGAAATACCCATTCATGTCTCTTGCCCATTTCTCTAATGAGTTGTGTATCCTTTTCTTATATATGTATAGTTCTTTATACACTTGATTCTAATCCTTCAAGTTATAAATTAGCAAATACCTTCTCTTTGTCTTTTCACTTTGTTTACACTGTCCATGAATAGATGCTCTTAATTTTATTTTTTTAACCACTAAAATAATTTTTTAATGCATGAAGGTAGCTGGCTATAACATTGCCATGCTCCGCCCTGGCTGATTTTGCTCAGCAGTTGGAGCATTGGCCTGCAGACCAGAGAGTCCCGGGGTCAGTTCCGGCTACGGGCATGTACCTCAGTTGCAGTTTGTTGCCGGCCCCCGTTGGGGTCATGTCGGTGGTGACCAGTCGATGTGTCTTTCTCACATCGATGTTTCTCTCTCTCTTTTCCTCCCTCTCTCCCTTCTGCTCTATCTGCGGGTGAGGATAAAATAAATAAATAAATAAGAGCTTGCCATGCTCCAAGTCAACAGCTCATCTACTTGCCAGACATAAACGTTTACAAATGTCAAGGAACAAAAGGAACTCATTTATGATAGATGCTCTTTATTTTAATATAACAGAATTGATCAATCTCTTCATTTGTGGTTACTGCCTTTTGCATCTTTTTGTTGTTGTTATTGTTGTTAATCCTCACCCAAAGATACTTTGTCCATTGATTTTTTTTTTTTTTTTTTTTTTTTTTAGAGAAAGTGGGAAGAAGAGAGGGAGGGGAGGAGAGACAGAGAGAGAGAAAGAGAAAGAGAAACATTGATATGAGAGAGACACATCAATTGGTTGCCTCCTGCACGCACCCCAACCGGGCAGGGATCAAATCTGCAACCCAGGTAACCCTTGACCAAGAATTGAACCCACAACCCTTCAGTGCACAGGCCAATACTCTATCTACTGAGCCATACCAGCCAGGGTGCCATATAGCCACTTTTAAATATCCATCCCTCTGACTTACCCATGGTCTAATTCTGGAGCTTGGGCTTGGAATTTGCATTATTCTTAAAGCTATCAAAAGGAATAAAGGAATATGATTTCTGGCCTATGAACAAAACAACAAAGAACAACAAAAACCCCACACTTTCCCAGAAGAATGTAACTACAGAAGCAGAACATTGCATGTTCTGTATCCCAATGTCAAAGCTGTTCATCTCTTTGCCATGTTTCAGCTTTTCGTTTCCTCAGGAAAGCGTTTCTCATCCGGCGTTAACAAGGGTGACGCCACGCTCAGCTCTGAGACCTGGGCCTGCCTGCTGACCGGCTGCCATGAGACACCTTCCGAACAGACAGCAAGGGGACAGTGCCATGGGTGCAGACCCAAAAGGAGACAAATTCTACAATAAAACCATTCAGAAGAAACTTTTTATATCACGTGGAAGACCAAACACATTCACAAAAATATTAGTATAATGTAAACATCTTTCTTGTTCTCTGGTGTCATAAAATAATATTAGTCCCTATGGTGTATTTGTAACAAGAGAGTTTTCAAGAAACTCAGACTTCAGAGATTATTGTTCTATCCTGTGAAATAAAACATTAAGTCTGTAAAGGTCTGGCCTATGAAATGGTTGAACTGATTACCCTGGTAATAAAAATTAGCACCTCTGTTTTCTGAAAATGTACATGGTGTTTCTTGTCAGTCAGCTGCAAGAGCACAGGATTCCCCTCTTACCCAGGCACCTGTAGGTTAAGCAATGTGATCACCTGCTAGACCCCTCCCTGGAGACCTTGAGTCTACTGTCACATTAGACACCAAATGGGAAACAGAACAGGAACACTCCTAGACCTCTCTACAGATTTAACACCTTCCTGACATTCCACAGCCCCTTGAGGGTTTGCAAGAAAGAATCCTGTCTGTCCTTCTCTTGTTTGTGGTGTCAAAATAAACAAAACAAAACAGAAACAGACTCATAGAAACAGAGACCAAAGGGATGGTCACCAGAAGGGAGAGGGTGGAGGAGGGGTGAAAGGTGACGGGGAATATAGTCAACACCACTCTGAGGAGTTTGCATGCTGACAGATAAGGACTAGAATTAGCGGGGTGGTCACCTTGTGAGGTATAAAAATGTTGAATCACTATCATATACACCTGATACTAGCATAAGATTGTATACCAACTATATTTAAATAGAATAATAAATTTTAAAGAGAAGAAAGAGCCCTGTCTAAACTTACACTCCCCACTTCTGCAGTGTAGATGCATGTGTGCACACAAAATGAGAAGGAAGAAAGGGAAGAGAGATATTGAGTGTGTGCAGTGAGGGGCACTTGTTTTAACCCCCTGACACACATAGCTCTCTAATGCAGGATGTGAAAACGAAAGTCAAAAACGATTCTCCATCCACTGAAGAGCTTACCTTTGAAGAATTAGCTTTGCTTGTTGTTCAGAAATGGTCAGGCCTAATATCTGGAGAGACTGGACAATTTCAGAAGCCTCAATTTTTCCTTTAAAAAAATAAAAAGAGCATAAACTCAGAACTGTAAGGACCTTAGAAATCATGAATTTCAAATTCCTCATTTTATCAGAAAAAGCCTTGAACTGATTAAGGTAAAATTGTGAATTTAGAGGAATATTAGATTTGCTTAAGTACATATTACAACACCAATTCAAAATTTAACAAGTACATACACACACATTATTTCACTCAGAAATCATACCAGCCTTGTAGGTAAATAATGATATTCCACCTAAAGAAGAAGAGACTGAGGGTTTCTGTGGCCTTAAAGCAGTAGAACTGAGATTCAAATCAACATATTTGAACTTGGCCCTGGCCAGTTTGGCTCAGCGGTTAGAGCGTCGGCCTGCGGACCAGAGAGTCCTGGGTTCAGTTCCCACTAAGGGCACGTACCTTGATTGCATTTTGTCCCCAGCCTCAGTTGGGGTTGTGTGTGTGGCAACCACTCAATGTGTCTCTCTCACATGAATGTTTCTCCCCCCGCCCCCACTCTATCTGAGGATAAATGCAAAAATGTCCTCGGGTGAGGATAAAAAAAAAAAGATATTTGAACTTGGAGCCAGATGGGTGCTGGAAATTTGGGGGTGGGGGGGGCACTTTGTGAAGTATATGATTGTCTGACCGCTGTGCTATACACCTGAAACTAATACAAAATAATATTGGGGGGGTACTTGGACTTTGAGGTAGATTCAATTGAGCTAGCATTGATTAATTAAAAAAATGTTTTTTCTTTTATTGATTTTAGAGAGAGAGGAAAGGAGAGGGAGAGAGAGATAGAAACATCGATAAGAGAGAACATAGATTGGCCGCCTCCTGCATGTCCCCCACTGGGGATCGGGCCCACAACCTGGGCATGTGTTCTGACTGGGAACTGAACCGGCGATCTCTTGATGCATGGGTTGATGCTCAGCCACTGAGCCACACTAGCCGGATGCATTGATTAATTTTAAAATTATGCATTTCTACATTTTAATATATGACAGGGTATTTATTGCACCACGTTAAAAGGCAGTAGAAAATGACTAAATGAAGCCAAAGAGAAATCCAGCAATAAAAATAAAGAGAGCAGGGACAGTAGGACGATGAAAGATGGGAAACTGTTATTATTAGCGAGATAAGGGCATGTTTGTACACAGAACGGGGAGAATCAGAAGAGAAGAAGGGAAAATGCAAACAAGAACTGAGAGTGAGGCGACCTTTCCCTCAGGCAGCTCACCGACTCGTGAGGATCCTCCGCCTAGTAGGCACAGGGTAGGATGAAACCAAACAGTAAGAGAGGATCTGATGCCAAACCAGTATTAATGGCAAAGTTCTCCAGGAAAAGAGAAAGACAATAATTACTGTCGGTAGTGAAAGGAACAGCTTTAGAGCAAAGGAGCAGCGTGAGAGTCTGGACAATACATGGATAGTTAAAGACATCCATCTCTTAGCAATGAAATTCCTTAGAAACCACTCTATCGTACTCTTAAAGAGACAGCTGAGTCACATTATTCATGGTAGCTACGTTCTACAAGGTCCCTGTTAACCTAAATTAGCAAATACTGAACCATTGTTCCCACAGGAAATATGGGGTTAGGGTCCTATGAGTCTCTGGTCACATTTTCATCAACCACTCAATACACAACCTTGTTTTATGTGTTTCTATTTAAAGACACTTTATGTAATATATATTATTGAATCATTAACATTGAACTCACAGTCAACAGTTCTGTAAGTGTTGCCTAACTGAAGCTTACCTAACACATGTATTTATTTCCTAGGGCACATCACAGCCTTCTTGCACTTAGGAATGCTAGACAGTCCTAAGCTTGGGAGCCATTTTAAATGGCAAAATCACCAACCAAAAGCACAAAATGCATAAAACATGGCACTAAGTAGACTGAAAAGGACACCCAAAGTGCCCCATGTGAAGTATGAACGCTGAAACAAGAAAGCAGAGCATCATCTTGTTCTATCTCGGCTACGAATGTGCACATCAAGCCACTAAAAGTTTTCACTGCTCTGCGCACGTCTACAAATGACTGTGAAAGTGCTATGAGTATTGGTTTGGGGGTTACCTTGGGGGTTAAATTTTAGCAAGTAGGCAAATTCTCAAATACAGAACCCACGAATAATGATAATAGAGTATATATGCTTTGCTTTAAGAAAGTCTGATAAACAAAATTATAAACCTATAATGAGAAACTGTTTTAAAATATACAAACAAGATATATTAAGGAGGAATTATTTGTATTTACTACAAATGTATCGTAAAATTTCATCTTTTATTTTGTCTGATTCAATTAGAGTTTTCTGAAATGGACAGCCAATAAGTGCACACTTACGCACCGGGGTGACTGGCCTGTACTTACCTGGCAGATTACCTCGAGGTAGCACCGCCTCCCAGCTGCTATCTGCCCTAACACTATCCAGGACAGTCTGACCTCTGCCACTGAACTAGAGAGGGTCCAGGGTGGGATGCAAGTTTACTGGGAAGAAGTTGAGTGTAAGAACTGAATTTTGCTAGACTAGATTAAGGCTAGACTTGGGGGGCATATAATGTAAGGTTTATGGGAGGTAGCCAATGGTCCAATAGCACAACTTTCCACCACAAACTCAGCTCTTCCTGGTGAGTCACAGACTTGAACAGTCTTCAAAACCATGCAAAGGGTTGAGTTGTTTGTTTGTAGGAATCTGCCTTGAATCTAACTGAATACAATGTTCAGTATAATCCAGGGGCCAGTAAACTATAACCCTCTGGTCAAATAAAGCCTACTGCTTGCTTTTGTAAATAAAGTCTTATTGGAACACAGCTATGTCCATTCATTACATATTGTCTCTGGATGTGTCCATATTATGACACCAGAGACCTAGACTAATGGCCCACAAAGCTATGTGGTCTTTTATTTAAAAAAAGTTTGCCAACCCTGATATGAACCATATTTTCTTTCAATCTATCTATTTAAATTTTTTCAATAATAAGTCTGTGAATGAAATGGTTCTGACTACTCGTTTTAGGAAGGGATTAGAAGATGCATTCTAATTTTTTTTTTTAATTCTTTCTTCCGCCCTGGCCAGTTTTGCTCAGTGGTCAGAGTGTTGGCCTGAGGTCCAGAGAGACCCAGGTTTGGTTTCCGCTAAGGGATTTGTCCCCGGCTCTGGTTGGGTTGTGTGGGAGGCAGCCACTCGATGTGTCCCTTTCACGTCGATGTTTCTCTCTCTCTCTCTCTTCCTCTCTCTCCCTCCCACTCTATCTGAACAAAAAATGGGAAAATATCCTCAGATGAGGATAAAATTAATTAATTAATTAATTAATTCTCTCTTCCTATTAGATTGCCTCTGGTGATGAGGGTTTCAGGACTCTCCCCTTCCTCCTACTGTGGCTCTTGCTTCTTGCTCAACACTAATGGACTCTCACTCCAAGCTATTAATCTAAACAGAGAAACCATGATTCCAGTCAGAAAACACATTTCAATGTTGATCTGCTATTTTTTTCTTCCAATTTTCAGGATCAAAGAATATCCACTCTAAATTAATTCTTTCAAAAAGACTATCAAATGGAAGATAGTCTACAAATTTTTAAATTTTAGATTATGTCATATTTATGCCTAAATATAAAAAGAACAATAAATTTCTCTTGCCCAGAAAGCAAGAAAACACAATTATTTTTAACCAATAGCTTTAAGTCAATCAGCATATTGTTCCATAGTTAACATTTTACAAATAGCCCTAATTCATAGTTTTTTAATTCATTGGACAAATAACAAGTTTTCTTGACTAAAAACATGACTTCTATATAAAAATCACATTACTAAGAAAAACAAGTATTAACACTAGTAATAATTATCACCTAAAAAAAGAAAGACTAAATATACATTGTTTTAGATTCTTGGAAGTAGCGGTGTTTCCTCACAGCTGGTGATGAGCAAAAATAAAACACACCATCATTGTTTTTGTCCAAACTCTTAAACGCCAATTTCATTTTTTTCTCATGGTCTTTAAGGTACTTCATAAATTCTTCAAAATCCAGCTTTCCATCTTTGTTGATATCACCAGTAGTAAAAATTTTCTACAAAAAAAAAGGGGAAAAAAAGAAGTATTTTTAAATGGGTCAAAATACTAAATTATTTGTACATATATTCAAGTAGATTGGCTGTTTTCTTATAACACATGTATTTCATAAATCATAAGATAAGAGACAAATACTTGGGATTTAAATGACTAACATAGTATTTTTCCCTTGGATTTCGAAAATTAAATAATCTTTTCCCAAAGATAATGGGAAAATGATTTCTACTGAATTTCTGATAAAGCTGTCATATCAACATATCTCTATTAGTAGAAATCATTGCTTTTGAGAAAGAAATAAAAATTATAGTATTTTATATTACATGTAAGCCCACTTCCACTTTCACCCAAAATATATACCTTCTGCCTGTTAAGACACTCACAATCACCAACTCAAAGCTTACAAAATTCTATTGGTTTGATGGCCATGCTCTTCTGGGAAAATAATGCCTTGATGTAGCCAGACAGTATAATGGTCAGACTTCCAAGCTCTGGACTCAGAGAGAAAAGAGTCTGAAACTCATGAGATTAGCTCAAAGGGAAATTTATGGATTTAAATGCAGAATTAGAAAAGAAGAAAGATTGGAATCCAATAAATGAGAAAAGTCATATGATCATCTTAATAAATGCAGAAAAACATTTGATGGAGTCAATATCATTCATGATTAAAAACTCCCAGCTTACTAGGAACAGAGTGGTACTTCCTTACTCTGATAAAGGGTATTGACAACGAATCCCAGTCTTTTTGTTAAAGGAATGTGAGCAGGATTCTCTTATCTGCAACCTAAATAGTCTTGATTCAAATACCATCAATTATCGCTTACAGTTTTAAAAGCAAATACATTTGTATTGTCACTAAAAAATAACCATTGCTAAAGTTAATTCCTTTTACAAGTTAGATTGAGGATGGTTTTCATTTGCAAATTATTTCCTGATTACTCAACACATATTGAAAATTTCATAATTCAAGAAAAACGCCAGTGTTCTGGGCACCATTTATTTATTTATTTAATTGATTGGTTTTAAAAAGAGAGGAAGGGAGAAAGAGATACAGAAAGAAACACGATGAGTGAGAACATCTGATTGGCTGCCTCCTGCACGCCCCCCTCTGGGGATTGGCCCACAACCTGGGCATGTGCCCTGACCAGAAATTGAATGGGCAACCTCTTGGTGCATGGGTCGATGCTCAACCACTGAGCCACACGGGCTGGGCTCTGGGAGCCATTTAAATACTGAAATTTCACCTAAGGAATTTACATTTTGATCAATAGAAATAATAATGTACAATGATTTTGAAAATTACAAGTTAAAAGGTCATCCCCAAAGTTGGGAGGAAGCATCTTCCGCCTAGATGCCCACCTAGGCTCCCAACAACAGGTGAGGACACGGGACAACATGACCCCAAACAAGGCTGCAGCCAACATCTAGAGAGCAATTTGAATTTGGAAGTTTTCTTAATTAGGAAGAAAACTCAATCTGTGTTGAGTTATTCTTAACATTGTAACGTTGATAATGGACCTGAAGGCCATGTAGGGTCGAGGTCAAGCTCGGAAAGTGTCCATTTGGCTTCACCCCTCTCTGCCCAAGGCCTCTGCAGGGCTCCCGGCCCCGACATCTCTCTGACCACAGCCCCAGGAGGCCCACCTCCCCTTCCTCCTGGAAGGACATGACCCCTATATCCTCCAGGCCTTCCCGAAGCTCAAGGACGTCCAGGGTCCCATCCTCATTATGGTCCAGGTACCAAAAGAGTTCTTCGTAGAGAGCGTCCATCAGGGCTGCCTGGCGGCAGGGGTGGTCCACACTGCGGCCCCCGAGAGTCACCCAGAGGGGGAAGGGAGAGGGAGGAGGGGGATCTCTGCCCACCACAGTCCAGACGGCAGCGGCCTAAGATAGCCGCTCCGCGAGAGAAAAGCAGAACGGAGAGGGCGCCTCACAACGGCCCAGGGCCGCCAGGGCCGGGCACGCGGTGTTCCTGGAGCCTGGCGGAGTCACGCTGGGGGCCTGGCCTGGGGCGGGTGGCCACAGTGTTTCAGCTGCGCCCCCAGGTCAGCCGATCAGACGCCCTGGTGTCCACCCCACTGCAGCAGAAGCCTAGTGGGGCGGCCTTCCCCAGGATTTATGGAAGACCTTTGCACAGAGGTGGACCTTCTTTCCAGAGAAAAGGGGTAGAGAGGTATTGGGACACGGACCGTGGGGCCATCATGATCGGTGGTGAGGGCCAACAGTTTTTGAAAGTTGTTTGGTTACACCTTTCCAAAAAGTCTTCTTCTAAGGTTGAGACACTTAAGAATTGTTGTAGGGAAGACTGGGAATTAGGGACTTAATGAAAATCTTCCCACTTGGACCTTTCCTTCTGTGATGCTCCCCACCCTCTCACCCACCCCCAAGCCCAGATCCTCATCTCCACCCGGCTGCAGGGCCTGCAGGGCAAGGCCGCTCCTCCAGGCCCCTCTCTAGTCTCGCAGAGGCGCACCTGGGAGGGAAAGCTCAAAGTGGGCGGAAGTGAAGTCAGCTGGGGTCCCAGGGAGAAGAAGGGAGATGCTCACACAATGTTCGCGACTCTTCTGGATCCCACTCTTGGGGCCTCCAGAGGGCTCTGGCTCCCCCAGACATACACCTGTGGTTCCTCATCCCACTCCATCAGAAATCAGGAAGTGTGATTTCACGGTAAAAACCTCGCTTTTTATGTAATTTATTTTCCTAAATATGTAGTGCTCTTTAAAAAGCTGAATATTAAAATTAATGTAAAGCAACAAGAATATGCATTCATTGCTGGTGGGAATGCAAAATGGTGCAGCTGCTTCGGAAGAAATTTTAAGGGGGAAAAAAGAGAAAAAGAAAGACATTTTGGCAGTTTCTTACAAAACTAAATACACACAATACAACCCAGAAATCACAGTCCTAGGTATATTCCCAAAAAGGTTGAAAACGTATGTAATGTATGTCTGCACAAAACCTGCACACAAATGTTTATAGCAGCATAACTTCCAAAACCTGGAAGCAACCAAGATGTCCTTCAGTAAGTGATGGGCACATAAACTGTGGTATATCCACATAATGGCATATTATTCAGCACTAAAAGAAATGAGCTATGCCCCAGCCAGTTTGACTCAGCAGTTAGAGTGTCAGCCAGCGGACTAAATTGTCACTGGTTCAATTCCCACCAAGGGCACATACACTTGTGGTTAGTCCCTGGCCCTGGTCAGGGTCGTGGGGGAGACAACCAATCGATGTGTTTCTCTCACATCAATGCTTCTCCCTCTCCCTCTTCCTCTCCCTCTCCCTCTCCCTCTCCCCCTCCCTCTTTCCCTCCCTCTTTCCCTCCCTCCTACTCTATCTGAAGATAAATGGAAAAATATCTTCAGGTGAGGATTAAAAAAGAAAGAAATGAGCTAGTGAACCATAAAAAGGCATGGAGGAACCTTAAATGCATATTACTAAGTGAAAGAAGCCAATCTCAAAGGCTACCTACTGTATGAGTCCAGTATGATACCTTCCTCTTAATTTTGCTGTAAACCTAAAACTGCTCAAAAATAAATAAATAATTTTTTAAAATTCATCAGAAAAATTTAATCAAGCCCTTGTCTGTTCGTTCTTGACCTATTGACTCATCATGTCAAGTACTGACAACATAAACAGGATCATTACCTGTCCTTGAAATACCCATGGGTTTGCCTGGAGGAGGAGGTTACGCCATGGGTAGTCATACTTATACTGTGGCTTTGCAACCAGCGTTTCCCCCCGAGCTGCCGAGCAGTGGCAGATGTCTAATGCTTTGTTTCACAAGACGTGCTGTGGCCCCATCAAGAACAAATTCTTCCACAGAAGAGACGTTTACAGTCCACAGGGAATGATCCTTCCTTGTGCACCACAGAGAATACAAGTAGTCACAACGAGTCACAGAAATTCAGGTACCCAGCTAGGGCACAACAGTACATAGGACCAAGTAGAAAAGACGGAAGTCACAGCCAGCACATTATACAACTGATAAGAGGGCGCAACCCAGAGAGCTGACAATCTAATCACTATGCAACTCTTCGGACTCTGAGCAGCCTCCCTTCTTGCTCTTGGTATTCCTCTCCATGCAACAGGCCTACACCCCTTCCAATCCTGTGTCTCTCCTAAGAAGTTCCAGTAGGAGTATGTGCCTATGAAAATATGGCAAACAACTTAGTTTTTAAATTACCTATAATTTCCCAGGTGAACTTGTTCAATCAACTAGCCCTGAACTTGGATACAAGAACACCTTCATACTCTACAAAGCCTGTCCCCCTTCTCTTCCATGTATTAATTAAAGAGTTGCTATTAAAACAGTGCCAAGATTCAAGAAGAAAGAAAGAAATATCTGTAAAATCCTATTGGGCAAGATCCCTTTTTCATTTTATTGCCTTAATTCTAAATTTAGACTTTTTTGGGCCCTACTCTGTTCAAAAGTCTTCCAAGCTTATAGTGAAACAAAATAAGCAAACTTCCAGCCAAAACTGCTGACTCTCACAATTAGTTTATTTTCCTCATAATTTCCATTTCGGTACATTAGAATCCAGAGTATTTCCTCTACTCTTTAATGTCCTGGAATATTTTTCCTCAGAATACCTTAAATGATATCCAAACATTGGGACTGTCTTTTAGAATGTCCCGATGTAGCCTGTGATGAAAAATAACCAAGGTGGAGGCAGAGAAGGGAGAAGAGGAGGAGACAGAAAATACTCAAAAGAGCAGACAGGGTTACGAGATAGTTGTGGGACAATTAGTAATAACTACTGTATCTCCTTGTTCCTCACATGACATCCTACTCATTCCATATTCTCACCTTCCTAAGGCCCAGGAGAACTTAATACAAATGTTCTCTCTTCTAAAACACTACTTTCATAATGAGGAGACTGAGGAGCACATGGAAAAGAAAAGTCATATCAGAAATCATAATGATTTCACACAACTTTGTCTCGGGACTTGCTTTAATGTCTTTTCCCTTCCTGGTACATTTTGGAACACACTGTAATGGTTAGCTATTGTATCCCTATGTCTACTTTCCACATTCTATTTTTATATGCCATATTCTTTCCATCTAAGGTTCCGCATAAAGATTGGCCACAGCCCTGGCCAGTTTGGCTCAGCGGTTAGAGCGTCGGCCTGCGGTCCGGAGAGACCCGGGTTCGGTTCCCGCTAAGGGCATGTACTTCGGTTGCAGTTTGTCCCCGGCCCTGGTTGGTCATGCGGGTGACAGCCACTCGATGTGTCCCTTCACGTCGATGTTTCTCTCTCTCTCCCTTCTCTCTCTCCCTCCCGCTCTATCTGTACAAAAAAAATGGAAAAATATCCTTGAGGATAAAAAAAAAAAAAAAAAAAAAGATTGGCCACATAACCCTAGTTCCAGTTATTTGACTGGCTACTGTTTCCCAGGCTCCCCTCGACCCCCTCTGTTACCCATCTGTTTTCTACACAGCCACCAGAGGGATCTTCCTAAAACTTCTCAAGGGCTCCCATCACTCATAGAATAAAAATCCAGACCACCCAGCAGGCCCACAGTGCCTTTCACAATCTGGCCTCTGTCTACCCAATAGGACTCTATTTCTCAGGAAGGCCCTGCTGACCAGTGGAAAGTCAGTAACGTTGGGCCTCCTGTCCAGGTAGAACACTGGCTCGTCCACACAGAGGCAGACACGTCTTCCTGGTAGGGGTTGTCCCTTCCTGCCACGAGGGCTCCGAGAGCACCTCTCCCTGGGGCCTCGCGGAATGCCTGATCGACAGGCATGAAATCTCACACAGCACAGCCTCTGACCAGGGCCCGCTTCACAGGAAAGAGGTGTGGGAGGGGGCCGGTGACCAAGGAGTCCACTGTCCATATCACACAACACTCCACCTCGAAGCAGCCGGCCTCACAGGATGTTAGAATGGCCCACTGAGAGCATCGGTAAAGCATCACCGAGGAGACAATATCTGACAGAGATGGGTGCCACCCTTCAGATGCAGCACATGTGAAAATCAAAGACCTGCGTCCGTCCCTGTGCTCCCAACAGGAAGAGCACATGAGTCCAGGACCCAGAAGTGGAAGCAAGAGTGGTCCCCTGACTATCATTCCCAGAAACCCACTGGGGGAATTTTTGCTTCCCATTCCCACAACTCTGGGCTCTGCAGTTAGTTGCTGGTCCCCAAACAGGATATACTCTTGTGTCCAGGGACCGGCAGGCAAGAGGAGAAGTCACCATCTTAGTAGGTGTGAACTGATCCTGATCAGCGGGTGGTAGGGCTGCTCTTACACGAGACAGAGAAATGCATGCAATGCAGGTGACCCACATGCACAATGTGATCGGTGACTCTGCAGCACCTGCAGTAACACTGGCCTGAGAAGCTCAGGAATGCGGCTTTGAGTCACACCACCAGGTAAGTCACCAAGACCTACAGCGATGACAGCTGGGTGTGAGTGGAATGTAAAATAGACGCTCAAGAAGGGAAACAATGAGTCCCAGGTGTGACCAGGTGAAGCAATGGGGACTGCGGTTTGTCCCTCTGACCTCCCTGAGGAAGAGAGGCTGAGGATCATACAGAGCAGCAGACCTGGTGGCCAGGTCAGATGGCCTTCAAGAGAACCTGCTGCGGGAGCCCAGGGGACCAAAAGCCTAGCCCACCGCACCTCTGGAACTTTGGACCCACTGCGGCCCTCACACCAGTGCTCACTTGCCCTGGGCTGTTCCTAGCCACAGTGGGGCGCTAGCACTGGGCAGCCGGCACCAGCGCAGGGTCCTCTACGGAACAGCATTTCCTCGGATACTGCCCACTAGCCTCGATGAGACTTTCGAAGACCATGCTTTGGTCTGAGGTTCTTCCTAAGGCAACCCTTCCTCGTGGCACTCTTTTCAGAGGGGTTCAACTTGCACCCCGAGGCTCACTCCTGTTCCCTCTGCCGTACCCTTCACGGGCATTTCCAGTAAATCTCTGGTACACCCAACTCCGTCTTGGTTTCTGCCCCTCAGAGGCCCACTGACACAGTTATTACCAGGAGGGGTCCAAGACAAGAGGTGGGGACATGGGGCTTGGGAACTGACTCACCAGCCTGCAGGCAAGAGCCCAGAGTGGCATATGGGGTAAGGATATGCCTTGCACAAGGCAGGAACCCAGTGCTGAAGATGTCCCGGTGGTGACCTGGAAAGATCACCTGGAAAGACCTGGGAACACTCTAACTAGTGAAATAATTTGTGCATTTGAAAAATACGAGGGGCGCTATGCTAATGAGGGTAAGCAGGAAAGCAGCATGATAAAAGGAGCAATTCACCGGGAAGATACAACACTGCTAAATTTGATAGTATAGTCTCAAAATATAAAAGGGGGAAATTGAGAGAATTACAAAGAAACAGTGGAAGCTCCGCAGTCGTAGAGGGAGAGTTTGACACCTCTCTTCTGTAGTGATTGTAGTAACAGTATTAGATCACTTAAAGGCTCATCGTTAATTGATTGCTTATTAGGTAGCAGGTAATTAATGTATTCATTCTTCACAATAACCCTCGTGTTACCTCTGTCATAGAGGAAACTGAGGCTAGAGAGATTTAAAGAATGGTCCAAAATTAACTAGTAAGTAACAGAACCAAGATTTAAACCCAGGCAGTTTGGCTAGATTTTCTTACAAGCTTATCTGTGCATGTAAAAGGATGTTTATCTGGCAAAACTATGGAGGCAATAAAATGACCAGCGGTGGAGGGAAGAATAGGCAGAGCACAGAGGATTGTTAGGGCAGTAAAACTACTCTGTGTGATACTATAATGTTGGATATGTCAGGTCCACTTGTCCAAGCCCATGGCATGTGTAACACCAAGAATGAACCCTAAGATAAACTATGGACTTTGAAGGTTCATCATAGGTAAACATTGCACCGTTCTAATGAGTGATGTTGACAGTGGGGGAGAGGCTATGCACATGCAGGAGCAGGGAGTACATGGGGAAGCTCTGTGCCTTCCTCTCAGTTTTATTATAAACCCAAAACTGCTCTAAAAATAGTGGGTTTTGCCCTGGCCAGTCTGGCTCAGCGGTTAGAGCGCCAGCCTGCGGTCCAGAGGGACCCTGGTTTGGTTCCTGCTAAGGACACGGACCTCGGTTGCAGTTTGTCCCCGGCCCTGGTTGGGTCATGCAGGCAGGAGGCAACCACTCGATGTGTCCCTTTCACGTCAATGTTTCTCTCTCTCTCTCGGTTCCTCTCTCTCCCTCCCACTCTATCTGAACAAAAAATGGAAAAATGTCCTCGGGTGAGGATAAAATAAAAATAGTGGGTTTTTTAAATAAAAAATATATTTTATCCAGCATTTCTAGGTACTTCCAACAGGTAAATTTGGGTTATATTTTCCTACTTAGCTGGAAATAAAAGTATATTTCATGTATATATATACAATACATATAGTGATAAACATGTGCCATCTTGTTCTGTGTTTGCATATACAGTTTTATATTTGTTCTTATATAAATCTTGGAAAAATGAAAACATTTTTTATTCTCTCTTTCTCAGTCAATCTAGCCAAGGTTTGTCTATTTCATTCATATTTTCAAAGAACCAAACAACAACAAAAAAAAGCATGTATTTAAAGTACATGGTTAAATAATTCATGGGTCAAAGATGAAATCATATTGGAAACTAGAAAATACTTGGAACTAACTAACAACAAAAGCAGAAGCTTGGGGGATGCAGCTAAAGAAGTGATTAAAGGAATACTATCTGTAGCTTAAAATTAATGAATTGAGCATTTAATGCAAGAAATTTTAAAAAGAACAAATAAGTAAATCTAAAAAAGGGAAAAGGAAATAAACAGAAATTAAGGGACAAAAAAAAAGAGAGAGAGAGAATCAGCAAAAGGGACCAGGAATGTTGGGGAACATAACTACAGACACAGTCAGAACATTTTAAAAATCCTAAGTGAATAGTATGAACCTTGGACAAAATGAGCCGTTTCCTAAAAATTATAACTTACTAAATCTGACTGAAGAAGAAACAGTAAACTGAAGAGGCCTGTCCGTACTGCAGACATGGAATGAGTAGCTTAAAATACAAAACTATAAGACAGTTGTTGGCTCTGCAGTTGAATCACTTTCCCTCTTGGGACAGGGATGCCGAAGCTCCTCTTAGGTTTCCGTGGGTTTGGAGACAGTCCAAATACATGCGCCCTGCTAAGGGGGCTGAACTTCAGTGACACAATTAAAATGACTCAGAGACCAGTGGGCCAACCCTACAGGTCAGTTTATGTACCCTGGGCATGAAGAATGTCAATCAAAGGAATGTTGCCTCTCCTCAACAGGAAGTTGGGGAAAACTCCTAAGATTGGTTTTGTTTTTTATGTGGTTTTTTTTTAATCTATGCAATTTATTGGGGTGACGTTGGTTAACAGGATAATATAGGTTTCAAGTGTACATTTCTATGATACATCATCTGTATATTGCATTGTGTGCCCACCACCAAAGTCAAAATCTTCTGTCACCATGGAAGTATTTGGCCAAGGCTGGTTTTTCAGGGGATCTGACACAGGCAAAACTAGCTGGTGCAGCAAAGCAGCTTCGAAGAGATACAAAATGTGAGCTTTTTACAGGATTTGGGGCCCACTGAAACCTGACAGCTATAAAGTTCAAGTTTGATTAAATGTTTACAAGGGCTCAAAAAGGCAGGTAAAGGGCCTGGGACGCATTCAGATCAAAAGTACTGTGGTCCAGTGGGCGTGTTCACCGCACCGACTTCATCTGGAAAAATACCCGGAGCCTTTCAGAACTAGCGGCGAGTCGGGGGGGGGGGGGGGGGGGGGGGGGGTTCCAGGCCGCGCGCCCCATTCGGGAGCATCTGAACCCATTCGAGGCTGGGAGCCGCGGCTCCTCCTCCTTCCTGGCCGAGCCCGGCCGCCGCCCTCCGAGCTGGCAGTAACCCGACTCCACGCAGCCCTCCCGGCCCTCGGCCGCACCCAGCAGCGACCCACCTCCTCGGCGTCCTGGCCCAGGGGGATGCCCAGATTCCGGAGCCCCTCCTGCAGCTCGCCGATGTCCACCACGCCGTCCCGGTTGCGGTCCAGCTGCTGGAACAGGGTCTCGTAGCGCCGGGGCGGCTCCGCGTCCTGGCAGGCCGCCGCGGGCAGCACCAAGCCCCGCAGCCAGCGCAGCATCGTCCCGGAGGCGCGGGGCGGCGCGGACGAGCGAAGTCACCCGGATCCCGCGCGACGGCCGCCGCCTGGCTGCCAGGGCCCGCCGTGAGCACAAGCAGCCGCGGGGACCCCACCCAAGGCCGGCAGGGCGCGCAGGGAGGGGCCGCGGCTGGGGAGGAGCCCGCCCGGAGCCCGCCTCCACGGGCGCGGCCGAGGGCGGGCAGGAAGGGCCGGTCTGCGCGTGGGTCTCGGGGGCTGTGGGAGCTGGGGAGACCGTATGCTCGGGTCCCAGCTGTCAGGGGCGCGGGTACAAGGAACGAGGATCAAGCCCCCAGAAGTCATGGGCCTCAGCGTCGGCTACTAGGGGACAGTTTGGAGCCCAAGCTCCTTACCTTCCAACCTCCTCCCTCCTGGCTGGGAGCCCTGATGCCCTGCCCGGAGGTGGCTCTCTCGGACTGGACACTGGGCCAGGTCGGACTTTGTTTAGCAGAGCACAGATCTCTGACATTTTCCTGTCACTCCGCAGGTATTGCCCATCTCTCGGCCTGGTTTCCATTCAGAAAAATGCGCACCCTGGGGGGGGGGGGGGGGGAATTCTGCCCTAAGAAGCAGGGGTTAAATCTGAAAGCAATTTTTTAAAGTAGCACCTAAAAGGAACGCAGTGTTATATCAATTATATCTCAATAAAACTCGGGGTAGAGGTGCAGAAAATACAAATGGGAAAACTCGGCTCTTTTGCAGAAAGCAGCCATCCAGGTGGGCAGTGGTAAAAAGGTGTCTACTTTGTTCTACAGCTCAGTGAGTAGGCTCTGCCCCATAAACCGTAGGCAGAACCTGCCAACAGCTCTTGTTAGAAAACTTCAGGGCCTCCCTCATAAGAAAGATGCGGATACAGGGCTTGGGGTTCACTGCCCAGGGAAGACGAACTTCTTACCGATATAACATGGGATAAGGGAAGGAACACTGGACTTAGAAAACACCAGGGTCTTGGTGCTTCAGCCACGTGAACTCAGAGACGTGCATGTTCTCTGAGTGGCCTCCGAAGGACAAGAAATATCTGCCTCATAATAAGGTTGTACGTTGTATGTGGACGTGCCAATGAAATGAGATACCATTTACTGTGATCATTCTCTGTTCACCTGTGGCTGCTTAATAGAAACTATCGCTGTATTTCTATTATCTGCAGTAGAGAAAGCAATGGACTCATAAAAAAAACTCTCCCCATATCATCCAAATCACTAAACAAAGACCAGTTGTTCAAACCAAGTCCAGGGCTTCAGACCCTGAATTTACCTCCCCTCATATCATTTTATATATTAAATATATGTGAATCTAGAGTTTGTAAATTGATGACTATCTGGTTAGTAAAGTCATCTGGAAATGAATTTATTTGCTTATATTAATTCCAATTTCCAGTCTTGTTAAGAATTATCCTCTTCCTTTGGAAAGGCCTTCAAATTTCATCAAATTTTTTTATCTGACCTTAAAAACTCCCTTTAACCCCTACTGTGGATATTCTGTACTTGAAGAGAGCCTGCTTGAAATAGTCGTCCCAAACTTAAATATTTTTATTTTCCTCTTTTTCCCCCCGTTAATAATTAGAGGAATAATTACCTTTCAAAATTTTGGCCGAGAAAACTTTTGACAGAAAAACGCATACAAAAATGTTTGTAGCGGTTTTATTCAGAATCGCCAGAAACCAGAAATAAGCAAATGTTCTTGCTCATCCAAACAGGTGAATGGATGAGCAACTCATGTTGCATTCATACAAAGGAATACTAGTCAGCAATGAAAAGAAATGGGCTACTGATACACATGACAATATATTTCATGACATTCTGGAAAAGGCAAAACTACAAGGACAGAAAATAGATCAGCAGTTGCCTTGATCTGGAGTTTGGGGTATGACTACATAAGAGCATAAAGGAGCTTTTGGGGGTGATGGAATGGTTCTATGTTTTGATTATGGTGGTAGTTATACAACTGTATGCATTTTTTTAATGCACAGCACTGTATACTAAAAAAGTTTAATTTTAATTTTACTCTGGAAATTATGCCTCAATACATCTGACTTCAATGTGAGTAAAAGGGAGTAAGATTTCTTAGCTCAAATGACCATTGTGAAAATCAAGATCATTAATGAAGTTCATAAACGTTGACTTGTTACAGGAGAGTGTGGGTGCAGGCCAACAGTATCAGTATCACTTGGGAGCTTGTTGGGAATGCAGAATCTTCGGTCCACCCCAGACCCTCTAAACAAGAGTCGCACTTATACAAGAGCCCCACGTGATTCTGTCATACAGTAGCATAAAGCAATACCACTCAAAGTGTGGTTTTACACAACAGTGCCAGACTGCAAGCTGTTACCCGTCCACAACAAGTAAGTCAGAGATTAAGAGGAAGCCTTTAGAAAATTTATAGCTGTTTGATAGAGTAATGTTATGTTTGTTGAATCTACTAAAAACTCAAACTTGTCTTCTTTATATCACTTTTCCAGTAATTCAACTTTACTGTATTTTACAAAAGTATGTGTCCTCAATGGATTAAGACAATATTATTACCACCCAGACCAGTGTGGCTCAGTCGGCTGGGTGTCATCTCATGCACAAAAAGGTTGCCAGTTCAATTCCCCATCAGGGCACATGCTAGGGTTTTGGGCTCAAATCCCAGTAGGAGGTGCAGGAGTCAGACATTCAATGTTTCTCTGTCTCGTCAATGTTTCTTGAAGCTGTGCAGAGAGAAACTTTAAATGCACATTCCTCATTTTAAAGTGTTCATCACTCATTTTGAAAACAAAATTTCTTGTCATCTTCAATTTCTTTCATGCCGTTTTACTACATATACTCAAAAACTGAATGTCTGACTTTAAAGTTTGTTCGCTTGTATCTTTGTAATATCTTCAAACTTATGACCACTTGTTTCTTGGCAGTAATGTGACTGTACTATTGTCTATGTAATAACTTTCAAATAGTTTGAGAGCAATTCAATTTGCAGGAAGTTTATCTCTTTAGTACATTTTCAGTATTTTCCTTCTGAAGGAAAAATGGCTACAATGTAATGTTGCTAATAAGTCAGGTGAGGGTACTGTAACTAAAGATGAAGAATGTTTTGGGGATTAAATAGTAGAGGAATTCAGGCAGGAGGGGATCAAAGGAAAGAGGGAAGACAGTGGGTATTTTTTTTTTTTTTTTAGTCATCCATATAGTTATAGATCCCTAAAATATGCTAACAAAATATACAGAACTGAAATATTAAAAACTGGATGTAACACTTTTTTTGTTTTAAAAAATTATTCTCTATCCATATTCATTTACTGTTCACTCCAATAAAACTAAAGTAAATCAGTGGGGGAAATGTAATAGATTTCCCTTTTTTAATTATTTTTATATTTTCCAACCACTGTGGCTCAGTGGATTGAGCGTCATCCCATGGACTGAGAGATCCAGGTTCCCCTCGAGGTCAGGGCACATGCCTAGGTTGTGGGAATCTATCCCCAGCAGGGGGCGTGCAGGAGGCAGTCAATCAATGTTGATGTCTCTCCCATTGATGTTTCTATCTCTCCCTCTCCCTTCCTCTCTCTCTAAAAGAATCAATAAAAACATATTTTCAAAAACAATTGTTTTATATATTGCAAAAACAATCTAACCCAGCAGCATCCCTCAATCAATAAGAAAAGAAAGAGTTCCTCTGGAGTCAGGAACTTTATCATCCCTGTGAGTGATTTCTCAGGGAGTTATCTATTTAAGCCCTGAAGTATATAATGTAACTTTGTGCTGCAAAAAAAGGGGGGACATGGGATGGTTAAAATTCATTTTGTAATCCTTGAAGCCTTCTTTTGTCAAAATGTACCACTTTTTAAAATTGTTATAGTATTTCTTCTTTGTTATTGTTGCTGATTTTAATTAACTCTCCCTTTTAATGTCCACACAGCTTCAAATGCCTTCTAGATGTTAAGTCCGTTAAGACATTATTTTACATATGTGTGTCTCTGGTCAATTTATAGTTATATTAAATCCTAATTTTTATATTTTCAAAAAGAACTTTTTTTTTTAATCCTCACCCGAGAACATTTTTCCATTTTTGTTGTTGTTGTTGTTCAGGTAGAGTGGGAGGGGGAGAGAGAGAGAGAGACATTGATGTGAAAGGGACCACCTGCATGACCAACCAGGGCCAGGGAAAAACCACAACCAAGGTGCAACCAAGGTGCAACCAAGGTGCCCTTAGCAGAAACCGAACCCGGGTCTCCCTGGACCGCAGGTTGATGCTCCAACCGCTGAGCCAAACTGACCAGGGCTCAAAAAGAACTTTTTAAAGAATCTAAATAGGCTATAAAGAGATAGTCTTTGGAAAGTCCAACTGCCAGAATTCCAATTTGTGTGAACTTATGCAAAGGGACTACAGCTGGGACTCAGGCAAAAGGGAAACCACAACCTGGCACGGCCCCAGGGTTCTCCCTCTCTCACGTCTCTGCGCCTCTCTGTGCCCCTGCTTCCCACGGTGCAGATCCACTCTCTTCACATGGTAGAGAACATGGTGTGACAGCTCTCAGGTGTTTATCTTACTACTTCAGGCGCCAGAGAGAGCCTTTCTTAATGCTCTTTCTGGTACTAAGTTCTCCAAATCCTTATCAGGGGCTCCTGGACTCAGGTTAGGTACTCGCTCATGAAAAAAATTAACAATGTTCTTGGGCCCAAAGCATTGTGTTCCCCATAAATCCAAGTTAAAGAAAAGGGCAAAAGTCATTTTCTGGAAGAGGATATAGATGCAGAGATAGATTTTCCTTATTAAATTCTCATGGGTTTCAGTATGTCAGAGTACATGTAATTTGCCGAATGTTCAAAAGTCAGTTCCACTTTTTTAAATCAGAAAAAAAAAATTCATTCCTGCCTCCTGAGACTTTTCCTCTTTGAAGAGATCAAATACCTTTGTTAAGAGAATCACTGTGTATTCTGACAGAATAATCCCACTTTTCTTAAAGCTCAATTTATATAAACAACTATGCTAATTGCTTCTAGGAAAATCACACAAATGCCAGTTTTCTCCGTCTTTCCAATA